GATGGTCAGGAAAACAAAAAGAGAGGTTATGATTTTTTTGGGTGTTTTTAAAAAATATGTTTTTATTGATTTCCAGAGGGGAAGGGAGAGGGAGAGAGAACTAGAAACATCAATGATGAGAGAGAATCGTTGATCGGCTGGGCATATGCCCTTGAACGGAATTGAACCCAGGACCCTTCAGTCCGCAGGCCGATGCTCTATCCACTGAGCCAAACTAGCTAGGGCAAGAATTATTTTAAAAAGAAAATGCCAAAACTATAGGAGAAACTGGAAATATTTTGAAATATAAATAGATAATAATTCTCTCCCCCAAACCATTGGGCCCAGATGTCCTCACAGGGGTGGCTAATGTTGTGGTTTGGGGGCAGAGTCTGAAAGGGAGATGTCCCTGCCAGTGGTGCCCACCATGGCTTCAGGTGGTCCTCCCCCCACAGCCTCAACTTTCCCATCTATAAGGTGGGTCATGAGGGGCCTCTCCCCATAGACCCCCTGAGAGAGGCCTCTTGGAGCCTTAGCTTCCCAGACTGTACAGTGGGGTGGGAACGGAGGTGACTTCACAGGGTCGTGATCAGAAGCCAGTGATTTAGAAGCACAGAGTTCTTGGGGGCAGGCCCAGCTGGCAAAAAGCCGTGTTTATAATGTCCATTCACCCTGAGGCCACATTAGCGGGTTGACACACCACAGCCCGTGTGCCAGCCCTACCAGACATGAAGGGTTTTTACCTTGTACCTTTTTAAGTTTGGGGCGGGGGGTGGGGGCGGGTGGATCAAAAGAAGACTATTCCCAAATATGTGAAAATTCAACAGAATTCAGATATCAGTGTTCACCAACAATGATTTGTTGGAACACAGATGCCCATATGCCAACGTGAGCCGAAATAGCGACTCTCTGGTCTTTGTAGGAAAGGTGTGCCAACACCATGCTATACGGTCACGGGAGCTAGAAGGGAAGGGCCTGTCCCTGCTGACTGTTTTAAGCTGGGGCAGCTGGAAGGCTGACATCACGTCCTGAGAGCAGGAGAGTCTAGTCCACGGGGGCCTGCGAGCTCTGAGGGGCGGCGGGCATGCAGCCGGGCCTCACCAGCATATCCTCTTCACACAGCGCATTTTGGAAGACAAGGAGGCCAGCCCGCTCCCTGCCGCCCTTGTGCAGCCCCACACTGGGAAACTCTGCTGGTTCCTGGATGAGGCGGCAGCCCGGCTCCTGACCGTGCCCTTCGAGAAGCATTCCACTTTGTAGCTGGTCCCCGGGGACACCACCGTTGCGACCGCTGCGGCTTGAGGGGCCTGGGATCGTCCTGGGGCCAGGCCCCTCCACGGCTGTGTTCTAGGCTTCACGTTAGACAAGCCACATGGTGCTGACAGGGCCTGGCCACTGGCTCTGCCCAGATATTAAAAGGCGCTTTGGCCCAGCCGGTGTAGCTCATGGTTGAGCTGGTTGAGCATCGACATATGCACCAGGAGGTCGCCGGTTCGATTCCTGGTTGGGGCATATGCCTGGGTCGCGGGCTTGATTCCCAGTAGGGGGTGTGCAGGAAGCAGCTGATCGACGTTTCTCTCTCATTAATGTTTCTCTCTCTCTCTCTCTCTCTCTCTCTCTCTCTCTCTCTCTCTCTCTCTCTCTCTCTCTCTCTCTCTCTCTCTCTCTCTCTCTCTCTCTCTCTCTCTCTCTCTCTCTCTCTCTCCCCCTTCCTCTCTCTGAAATCAATAAAAACATTTAAAAACTATAATAAAAGGAGCACTTGCTCCAAGTGTCCACTGTCTTGTGGTCCTTGGTGGGCAGTGGGACAAGGGGCTCCCAGGCCGACTCGAAGCCCCCATCCCAGCAGGTGGAGGACAGGAATGGTGTCCGCGCTCGGTTCCGGGGGCCGTGCAGCAGGTACCACAGCATTTACTGACTCAGTCCTGTGGTGTGACGTCAGGGAGGTGGCAGGGTGGCTCCGTCTGGAGGCTCTGAGGGAAAGTCTTCCCAGGCTCCTCTGGGGGCTGCCAGCAACCCCGGGCTTGTGACAACATTGCTCTAGGCCTTGTCCTCACAAGGCTTAGGACCACCCTAAGTCCAAGATGAACTCATCTCAAGATCCTTAGCTAATTATATCTGCAAAGACCCTTATTCCAAATAAGGTCACATTCTGAGGTTCCCGGGGTTAGGACCTGGACATACCGTGTATGTGTGCGTGTGCATGTGCTAAAATACACATAATGTAAAGCTCACCATCTTAACCATTTCTCGGTATCCAGAAATGGTACAGTCACACTGTTGTACAACCATCCCCACCACCTATCTCCAGAACTTACCATCTTCCCAAATTAAAGCTCTGTCCTATTAATCGGTAGCTCCATCTCCCCCTCCACTAGCCCCCCACTCTACTCTGTCTGTGAATTTGGTCTAGAGGCCTCATGTAGATGGGATCATACAGTGTCTGTCCTTCTGTGTCTGCTTTTACTCAACATCATGTCCTCAGAGTCAACCATGTTGTCACATGTGTTACAATTTCCTTCCTTTTATGGCTGAATAATAATCCACTGTGTGGCTGGACCACATTGTGCTTCTCCATATCTATGGGCACCTGGGTTGCTTCCATGGTTTTGCTCTTGTGAATAATGTTGCTACAAACATTGGTGTAAACTATCTCTGAGACCCGACTTTCAATTCTTTTGGGGATATACCCAGAAGTAGAAGTGCTAGGTCAGATGGTAATTCTGTTTTAATTTTTTAAAAATATATTTTCAGTGATTTCAGAGATGAAGGGAGAGGGAGAGAAACATCAATGAGAGAGAATCATCCATCAGCTTTCTTCTGCACGCCCCCTACTGGGGATTGAGCCTGCAACCTGGGCATGTGCCCCTGACCGGAATCAAACCTGGGACCCTTCAGTCCGCGGGCCAAACTGGCTAGGGCCTGTTTTTAATTTTTGGAGAAACCTCCATACTATTTTCACAGCAGCGGTACCATTTTACATTCCCACTAACAGTGCACGAGGGTTCCAGTTTCTTCATATCATCACCATTGGTTATTTCCTGTGTTTTTTTATAGTGACCTGTGCATGTTTCTTTCCAGGGGTACACAATTCAACCCACTACACACTCGCTCTGGGAGAGTTCCCACTGCACACACTCGGCAAATGTTTTTATATGTTTTCATTGATTTTAGAGAGAGGAAGGGAGAGAGAGAGAAACATCAATGTGAGAGGAACATCAGTTGGCTGCCTCCCACACGTGCCCTGACCTGGGATGGCACCCTGACTGGAAATCAAACCGAAGACCTTTTCGTGCATGGACAACGCTCAACCAACTGAGCCACATCAGCCAGGGCCGGAGCCGGTCTGAACCTCCACCCAGTCCCGCTGCAGGCCTGCCCAGAGCCTTGAATGTGTCAGAGGGCCTCTTTAGTCTCAACGGTGCCAGGACTGCAGCCTTTCCATCTGCTGGGCCCACCCAGCTTCTCTGGCTCCTGGGACCTCAGCAGAGAGTGGGAAGCATGGGGTTCTGGGGGCGTCCCGCAGATGCGCCTGAAGGGGACATGGGAATTGAAAGCTCAAAGCCGAAACCACAGAAAGAGAAGTTTCCTTCAACGTCTTGGGGTCAGTCTCTCAGATGTGAGAGTGAGGAAGTGGGCCGGGGGCTGGTCGGAAGGAAACAGGTTGAGAAAGCAGAGGAGGCAGCCGAAAGGAAGGTTGCCCAGCCGTGGGCTTGAGCAAGCTCAGGTGGCCATGACCCCTGGGGCGGAGTCCGGGGCGGGGTGGCTAGAGCAGAGGGGAAATGCTGAGAATGGCACGGGGACCTCACTGGGGGGCCCTTCCTGAGGCATCACCTCTCCGTGCCTCTCCCCATGACGGCAGCTGTCCCTGCACCAGACCAGCCTGTGGCTCCCTTTCACCTGGAGGGAAGCCCACCCTTCCTGTTGGCCCATAAGCCCCTGGGTGGCCCCTGAAACCCCCACCCTCCCCTCGTAACATCTGCCGCTCACTCTCCCTTTTTGGTCCCACCCACTCTGTGCTGTTCCCACCTTAGGGCCTTTGCATGCGCCCTGCCCCTGGCGACTGATTCTCTGTCCTCCAGCTTTTCGCACTTTCTTGGTCCAGGTGCAGCATCTCCTCCCTGCCCCTAGCATTTCCTGTCCCCTCCTGTTCCATTTTTCTCCCTTCCTCTCACCATTATCTGACAGTTTTGTCAGTGTGCCTATGATGGTCATGGGGGCTGCTGGGGCTGGAGAGGGTCACTGAGAGATGAGATGGGCTCTGCAGGGCCTGGTGGGAGGTGCTAGAGGTCATGGAATTTGGAGTGTGCTGGCTGGGGGCTGGGCTGGAGAGTAAGGGCACCTTTAATAGTCAAAGAATTGAAGGGAGATGAGGTGATTGCCTGGTGGGGCGAGGGATCCTGCTGGAGGTCAGGAAGTAGCCAATAACCCCTTAAATCTCCACACCTCCCATTCCCCCCTCATCTAGGACCCCACTGCTTGCTCCCTCAGTCTCAATACTGACTCCAGGGACGGGGGTGGGTATGGGCTCTCGCTCCTCAGCCTAGGGATTCTAGGGGCTGGGCCAGGGTTGAATCCTCTCAGCATTGCCCAGCATGGGGCAGGCACGGGGTAGGGGGGGGGGGCACCAGAGGGGGATAGACACCCCATCCCTGCTCATCCTTCCTTTCCCCTCACACCAACAACTGGTTGCCTGATCCTGCCAGACATCTGCCCCGCGTCCCTCCTCCAAAGCCAGCGGAATTGTCTCCCACCCCTGTACCCGCTGCTGGGGCAGCCCCTACAGAAACCAGCAGCTCTGGAGGCCTTGGCCCCGGGGGAGTTGGGAGGACGCAGGTGCAGGGTTGGGTGGGGCAGGGGGCGGGCATCCTCACCCCCCAGCACACACAATGGGAGGGCCGAGCTCTGGCTTTTGACCCCAGACACTGGTCGCCATAGCATCCAGGGTCCTCACAGGCTGCCCTGCTCGCAGAGTGCCCCTGAGCAGAGGAACCTGGGGAGCCGGGGGGTGGAGAGGGGTGTCTGCTTCACTCTAGGGCATCCTGGGACGCAGCAGGATGGGCGGGCGGCCTTCAAGCCCCCTGGACAAGCGGCAGCAGCAGCACCTGAGGGGTGAGTGAGGGTGGGGAGGGGTAGGGATGGGGAGGAGGGTTCAGGGTTGTCAGATACGCAGGATGCCCTATTAATGTGAATTCCAGATAAGCAATAAATAAACTTTTTTTTTTTAGTATAAGTATGCCCCAAATTTTGCATAAGGGCATAGTTATGCTAAAAAATAATTCCTTATTTACCTGAAATTCAAATTTAACTGGTGTCATGTACATTTTGGGGGTAAATCTGGCAACCTGACTACGGGCATGGGCTTGGGGTGTGGGGCACGGGCCAGGTGGGACCTGCCCTGGGCCCAGCCGGATCTCGGGGGATAATTCTTCCAGGGGGGCAGGGACCAATAGATCCCTCTGTGGACGCCAGGGACTGAGTCACAGTCCTATTTGAGACAAAGAAGGGTCAGTGCCCTTCGTCCTCCATGCACAGGGCTGAGTATTTACTGTGCACTGGGCACGGGAATACGATGGGTTCATGGTCTAGATCAGGAAAGGTCAACTCACCATTAGACAAATGGATTCAATCAGCTCTTCTGCAAGTGTCAGGTATTTCTATAGCGGCTTAAGGCAGATTTATTCCTCTCTCCTATAGAGGGGTACAGTGGCAGGCAGGCAGGGAAAAGTTAGATAACCTAGCTTCTCCCACTCATGGTTCTGCCACGCATGGCTTCTGTGTCTGAGGCCACCTCACGGTACAGAAAGGCTGCCGAAGCTCCAGCCATTGGGTCCACGTTCCAGGCAGCAAGATGGACTGGATGTTTTACATACAGTCAAGTGAGTGCATCTTAGGGAAACAGCTGGAAGAACTTTAACACTTGTGTGACCACCTCTTAGATGAGGACACAGAATACTTCCATCACTCCAGAAAGTTCCTCTGTTCTGGGCTGAGGCTTTTAAAAGATTTTGAAAAATTCTCTAGGTAAGGGGCGTGAAAAAGCTTCCAGGTGCAATGGGACTGTTCATTATCTTGATCGTGGTTTCTGGGTGTGGACATGGGTGAAAGCTCATTAAATTCTGTGCTTTATTCACGTTTGTTGTCCATCAGTTATAAGTTAAGCGGGAGTTGCCTTAACTGCCCCCCCCCTCCCCCAAGGATGGAAACAGACAGTGGGTGGTTAAGGGTGAATGGAACTTGGAGGATGTCTCGTGGGGTAACTTGGGGTGTGGGGTGACGGCAGAAGCCCACCAGTTACTTCCATCCTGGCTTGCCTGCCCCTGGTACGCGGCCTGACTCAGCCACCTTGCTGTTCCCTTGTCCTGCAGACCAGGTGGAGGCCCTGCTGAGGGACTTCCTGCCTCAATACCGCGAGCAGCTGGCCGCCTCTGTCCTGCAGCAGATTTCCCGGGAGCTGGTCCCCCAGGAGCCGGCTGAATGCCAACTGCTGCACAGCAAAGTGGGTGCCACAAATGAGGGGGGAGGGCTGCTGAGCACACAAGACTGCAGAGGCCATTGGTTCAGCGGCGGTGGGGGGGCTTCTCACACCTTTGTCCTTGCTGGTGCCACAACCTAGGATGGCTGTAAGCATTCACTAGCGTGTCCTGGGCTGGACGCTGGGGACACAGCAGAGACCGAGCCCCGTTCTGTCCTCTGGGGCTCACAGTCTGACTGGGGGGAAATGACCCCAAACAGGTGAACAGATCATGGCGCAGGGGAACTTCTGATAGGCGCTAGGAAATCAAGAGGAAGGGCACAGTTGGGTGCAGGGAATCAAGGTGCAGGGGGCCCCTTTGAGCTGAGATATAAAGGATGAGAAGAAGCCAGATCTGGAGCCCAGAATGGGAAGGGCATTGTAGGCAGAAGGCACAGCTGGGGCAAAAGCCCTGAAGTTGGGAAAAGCTTGCCCTGAGTGCCACACTCGAGGACACAGCACAACCACGGGATGCCCAAGTTTTTGCATGTGAGGTGACCTCTGTCTCGTGCACTTTCCGTTCCTCCTTGTACTTCAGTTGCCACTTCTTCCAGGAAGCCTCCCTGGATTGCCATTGCCCCCACCTCAGTCAGGCACCTCCCCTGAGACCCTCATCCCAGCAAAGCCCCAGGTCACACATTAGTCACCTCCATGGGTCTGCTCTGAGGGAGGAGC